CGATGTGAGCGCTTCTTAGACCAACAGTTCGCCTTGACCCATCTGATAGCTGTCTAACTAGTGTGATAATCAGCACAAGTTGCAACCCATATTGCTATGGGTAATGCCTGAATAGCAGAATGACAGTAGGTACAAATCATGGATTCCAACAATCGCCTGGATCACTGATCATTCGTCGTTCCATGGTTTGAATAATATTTTTGTTCTTGCCTTAACATTCATAGTAGAGGTACAGAAAAACTAGTTATTTAGCATGTACTCTGTGAACGTCATGAGTTAGCAGCATTAACAGATAATTAGATGAATAATTTTTTCCACCATTTGCTGGCACAGGTGCAATCTTGAATATAGAGATGCTGTCTAAGACGGGATTGGGATCCTTCATATACTAAAGCAGATAAGGAATAACATATCTAAAGTAACTTTTATGTTCTTGCCGGCATGTGGATGAAGTTCCAGCAAGTCCCGCCATGTAGAGACAGTTTTTTAGCCGTATCCCGGCAGTGTGTGCTCTTCGTCGTTTGATATCTTCTCAAAGAAGCGCAATGTTCTGTAAATTACAGTCTCGGTCAACCAAGAGGTGAATTCTTAGCTTCAACGAAGGAGTCAACTTTTATGAAAATCTTTCTTTGTAATTCGATCAGCATTCCTTAAATGTCTACATGTCTGCCACAGGTTTCCAAGGGGTTTTTCATTCCAGCGCCCAGTTTCAGACGGCTGCTTTTTCTCAGACTCCATAGGTGTGGCAAAAAAATAACTGCGCGTCGATCTCGCTCGATCTCGGTGTACAGTAACGTCTCTGTTCGGTTTTGTTTAATTCCTTGTTTTCCTCTCTTTATTGTCGAGTCTCCAGCCCAGTCTGTTTGCTCCTTACCGTCACTCGCTTGTACTGCCTATGATCTGCGGGTTTCGAGTATTCACCGGCCGTTGTTTTGGCCAACGCACCTGCGTTATTGCATTTTTATGTCAATCTACTTTGTTCACGCAAAAACAGACGTCTTTATTCGGCGTTCTCTAGGCCACTCATGCAAAAATTTAAAATTAGAGGGTAAAGTATAACAGTTGGCCTCCAGTACTCGCTTTACCTTAAGACGACGACACGACAAATGTGGAAGCCAGAAGATTTCTTCCCATGCCTACTGTGGTTTAACTTTAAGTCTTGTGGTACTTGAAGTAAGCGATTGCGGGGATTGGTCGGAATGCTAATGCTTAGAGACACGTTATGCGACGGCCAAGACCTCGTCATGGCGCGTTTACGGCTCCCTCGTCGTGGGTGCAATGCATCATATTTCAGAGCAATCGTTTCAGCGCCGCAGAAGTGCGTCGATTTCTTCAGGGCATCGAAGACCATCGCTCATCGGCCAGCAGCCGTCGCGGGCGTCGAAAGGCCCAGGGGAGAATTTGGCACTTTCGGAGACGTTGCTGAAAAGCGGTCAATTAAGGCGACGAGTCATCGTCGCCGCAGAGTAAGGCATCGTTTTGCGTAGCAACATCGGGAGGCACAATGAGCATCGGCGTCTGACCACGGAGGGAAGTAAATCGTCTGTCCCCCGGCTAGATTTGCCGCTGTACTTACGCTAGAAACAGCCTGTGCATTATTCAGTTTTACTCCCTCCGGAAAAATCTACCGTATGCTCTGGACAACTAGGATCTATTGCGGAGCAAACGGCGATTTGCACTGTTTTACCGTACCTGGATCTGTCATCGCCGGTGTAGGGATTTTGACGCACGGAGCGACCGGAGATCGGCTCTGCTGGTATCCTTTCGAGCACTGGTTGCACGTCAGACCAGTCA